GATTCACTTCTCAGACTTCCCACGTCAGCTGCCCTGCCGACTGGACTGCTCCGACACACAGCACAGTGGCTTTTGTATTGGCAAGTACCAGGTGAGATGGAAGCTTTGAAAATGAAAAAGGGTCAATAAAGAAGCATAAATTAAGGGCGTACTCAGGACTTCTGTGTCTTTACTATTCTCCTAGAGGCACACTGGCTTTTACAGATCAAGTGATTCATCATTTTACTTAGCCGGACAGAGATTTAATAGTGTTAAAACACTAGTGCTTCTCGTCTTGCCCCAAGCAGATGTGAAAGCTGAGCTGTGACAGAGCCTGGCTGGTTATCAGCCCCCTCCAAGGCACCACCATGGCAGGGGAGAGACCTGGAGCCTTCTTGCTCCAAATGTTGGGGTACCAATGTTGAAAATGGACCCAAAAAGCTGCCAGGCAGGGGAAGAAGAAGAAATCAATTCAAGCTGATTAAATGCCAACATGTGGTTACAGTCAGTGGGCTGCATTCTGTAAAAGCCCTGACTGAGGAGGGATGCAGGGGAAGGGTAGCACTGGAGACTTGCCGCCTTCTTCCACTTTTTTCCTTTTATACAATCGAATTTCCCTCTGTACAATTAATTTGAAAGAGGCCACTGAACAAAAAGTTGCCAGTCCTAGAAAAGAGCATGTTTTACATTCCCCAAGGATACCTCTCCTTCAGTGGCTGCACGAAGGTCTAACATGAATAAAGGCTTCGCAGTTATGACTCTCAGCGATGAGTAAGCAAACGCTAAACTTAGGTCAAACTTAGGAACTGCCATTAGCACTAAAATTACTTATGTCAAATGCAAGATTTCAGAGCGCTCAATCTAGGCTACCGACAACCTTCAGGTTGTTTCAGAAGCACCTCCCACAAACCTGTGTGAGCTGCTGGGCTTTAATTAGACCAAAAAATCCAGTTACATGCATTTTGATTAGCTTTAAGGATAACTGTAATTTAATGAGAAGGATGTGTATGGCCCATGATTTTGGTTTAATTTGTTTAACAGCACAAAGCAAAGAGAAGCGCTTGTGCAAACTGCCCAGCTCTCAAGTCTCTTTATAATGCAGTACACTTTTCTAATTTGCAATGATAATTGCAAACTCATGAAAATACATCTGTTGACCCAGACAGATCATAACTGTTGCTTTGATGCCTGGATTGCTCTTTTTCCCATTTTATTGCTTCCATTTTCCTCCTTCAGACTACAGAAACAGTTTACCTGATAAAAGCATTTATGATATGTCTCTTAGTTCATTTTAAATCTATGGGTTTAATACTCAAGTTTAGTAAAAACCAGATTTAAAAGAGAAGAAAGCAGGCAGGCTGAGGCTATGCTGTCTATGCACAAGAACATTATTTTACTTCATGAAGAAGGTTGCACAACACAGTATTAATAATTATTACTTAAACCTGTGGCAAGAACTGGAGTTTAATGGGTTATTCTGGACTTTTGCTACATGCTAAGGAGAGCAGTGTACTGCTGGAAGAGGACTCTGATAACCAACCCAGCTGCCTATGATGCAGAGCATCACATGGCACTTTACAGGTGCTTTTTTTTCCCCCAGATGGATTCTAGCAAAAAAAAAAGAAACAGTAAAGAACTTGGAATAAAACCTGGAAAGAGGACAGGGAGTCCCTGAGCTCAGTGTGGCATAAGCAGAGGAGAAAGGAGGAAGATGCTCTGACCGCCAGAGCTGGAGAGGAGAAATGCCCTGGGCGACCTGAGCGGGGTCCCGGGAGATGCATCGTCCCTGATGCTAAGTGAGACCACAGTCACTTTAAGCAGGGTAAGACCTAACGAAAGGCTGTGTGATTCTGCATGAGGGTCCATCCACTCCGCTTCTCCATCAATATTTCGAAAATTGCACAGACTATTCAAGCTATAGGAGGACCATTGCTTTTATGGACTTACATAGTAGCATAACACTGTTTTCTGCTTGGATTGAATAGAGATCCAATACAAATTCCCAATGGTTTTTGATTGCTACTGAACATGATGTTTTTCTGGTGTTACCTCTCCTACCCATAAACTTACGTGAACAGGTATTGGAGAAGGCTGAGGGTACATCCTAGAAGAGGCACTACGCCAGTTTCAGACTCATGGTATTTGAGAACGAAAGGTTTATGTTGACCAAAAGTCCAAGAAGTCAGTATTTTCTACGTAGCTGTTCCTGGTTTGTTTCTGGCTTTTCTTTTAAAAAGTAGTTTTGCAAAATTGGTACTTTGGCACAGCATCTATTTGATAGCTTCCCATCTGCTTGCCCAATTTATATACACTGAATTTGCTAACAAAATCAAGTTTTTATTGCTAGCCACATTGCAAAACTTAGATAGCTGTGGGAAAATGGGCTGCACTCAATTTCCCCTTACGCTTCATCAACCGACATGTGTGCTGACGCCGATTCTTTACTGCCAGCGGTGGGGACATACAGTGTAGCAGGCTACAGGTTGCCCTACAGATGTGCTGCACAATACATAGGTTGATTTATTTGCTCTGCTGAGGGTCAAAGTAAGCATAGACACGACCAGAGGAAAAGTACAGTACACCAGAGTGTACTGACTGCAGGTATTTTACAGTTTCTATTCTAGATTACCTTTATCATCAAATCTTGTGACGACCTAATCCACAAACTAAAATAAGTTACATTTAGTGGAAGTCTACATTTGGGGATGGCAAGGACAAAAAGTACAAGCAAAGATAGCAAAGCAGCAACAGGAGTTGAAGAGAAATGTCTGATATTAAAGGTAAGCCGCCTTAATGGCTCTCTAGCAATCCCATTCCCCTTCCACAGCCACAATCTTTCACTGCTTCCATTGTGCCCAGAAGAGGCACTTGTCTCTCCCAAAGTAAGCCAAATCGAGGAAGTCAAGACAGCAGAAAATTAGTAATTTATGTGTCAGATTGGTTTTTAGTGAAACCCACTCGCTGCAGAAAGCCTCGGCTGAGCTGGAGAGGGCGCAGGAACAGATCGCCCAGGGTGAGGCGAGAGCAGGACTGTAACGTTCAGCATCCGTTAGCCGTTAGTCACGCTTTGTGCAACAGAGAGGGGAAAAAAAATAAACCCAGTAGCTGTGCTAGCAAAGATCCACAAGTAGGTCTTTATGATAAAAGAGTAGTAGATTCGCTCTTCATACAGGGCTGTATCCAAACAGCTTAAACTCCACGTCCACCCTGGATGGGATTTCCTTGCAGGGGGCAGGGGGCCTCTGTGCAGTTTCCCAGCTTCTCTCTGCACCTCACCACATCTATTTTTCTTTGTCTGAGTCAGTTTTCAGCCACGTCAGCTCCCCGACACATTTCACTGTGCAGCCGTTCAAACCCTCATGTCGGCACAAGGAAGGAGACAGCAGAGAGAGGGGGTGACCCCCCACTGGGCGATACCCCGCTGACAAGTGATTTGAGCAGGCAAGGAAGGAGCATGGTTCCTCCTTCACTCTAAAACAACAAGGAAATGGGGTTTTCTTTAGAGGATTCTTCAATGCAGATTTTTTAAAATTTAAAACCCAATAAAACTAGATCCTCACAAAACTATGCTTCTTGCCACAGTTGTAGCCTCACCCCATTTTTAATAATTTCTTCAATTCTGGAGCATGGGAAGGAAGGCTGCACAGACCCACAGGACAACACTAAGACTACTGAACACATTTAGAAAGCTTTTCGTATACAGGCAAGACAACACAAACAAAAAACCACAAACACCAAAACCAAGTAGATTTACAATGAAACTGGAAGGCTGTTCCTGCAGGCTTTCAGAATGACAGACCTGATCGTGGATGCGAAAGGGCTTGTAATCAACAACATACACAGCCTCTTGTGGACCTGTTAAGTGTTTTCCAGGATGAGTTTAAAGGATTATGGAATTTCAGATACAGATGTCCTGCATGAACAATTTAGTTAATTTACTCGAAGGTATGGTGTAAAATAAGACTGCTATGCACTATAGTCCAAAATAACTGCAGGCATTGTCCGCAAGTATCCCTTAGCTGGAAACTACCATTAATTGGCACCAACTGTTCCAATACAATTACAACCACGATGCCCATTAATTGATTAATTTGTTTTCGCATCTGCAAAGCAATAACTCTGTTGCTTACCTTAACATAGGCAGTAAATTCTGTCATACACAGCTCAGATTATGTCCTCTTTGAGGACAACTCACGGGATCCTGCTTTACAACCCAGAGCACAAAGGAAAAGTGTAGCTTTTCCACATTTTCATCTCTGCCTCCCTTTTACTGCCCAACTACTCACCTTCTTCTGAAAGGACAAGGAGAAAAATCAAGTCAGCTTTAACACCCTTAAGCTGTGATTTGCACAGCTTTCAATCAAACATTAAAGGTAACCTTCAGGTTTGATTCTTCTGGAGTAAAATAGCCATTTCCTAGTTGCTTGTCAACACCTGAACTGTTCCGAATTTATGAAAAATCCTTTTTTTTTTTTTTTTTTTTTTTTTTTTTTTTTTTTTTTTTTTTTTTTTTTTTTTTTTTTTTTTTTTTTTTTTTTTTTTTTTTTTTTTCCCCTTCTGTGTCTCAATTAGGGGGATGGCTTTGCTTTCCCAATCCTCCTTCCACTCAGAGAAGCACTTCCTAGCAGGGAAGAAGGTTTTAGGAAAAAGACTGGTGGACTGCTACGGAAATCGAATACAACACTGACCAACAATTCACATGCAACACAGCCAAGCATGGACTTTTGTTCAAAAAACAAGTTCTGGTTTGGGTATTTTTTGTGTGTGGATTTTGATTTTTTTTTTTTTCCATTTTATAGAGGTGACTCTTGTATACTAAGGCAGGTATTCCCAACAAACAATGGCAATGGGTGCCATGACAAAAATATGGTGGTAATGCAAAACTAGTAAATCCAAGGTAAATGCACATTATAGAGCGCATAGAAAAGAGGAGAAAGACAGAGGGATTAATCAGTGCAGGTATAGTCAAGAAATATTTTTCTCAGCGATCTTCCTGTATTAAAAAGAAACCAATTATACTTGCAAGTCACTTGCAGAAAATTTTAATAATTTGCCAAATAGACAGCTATTAGAATTATCCTAAATATAACTTATAATTAAGTTACAAAAGTTGGTAGATAACATAATACAATGTTCTATAAAATAAACACAGGTAATACTAACAATACCCCCTGCAGTCCAATAATGGCAAAAAACAGCAAATGAAATTACAAACACATACAAATTAAAAGAAATTGAGTGACGGCTTTAGACACTTGAATCAAAGAAACTGAGACCAGACTAGACTAGATACATTCATCCATCAAGCATAATTAGACTTTTAGATTTTAAAAACAATTAACAACACAACATCAGGTACAATTTCACATGCTTTCATTTATCTTCCAGTACAGTTCCCAGAGTATTAAAGTGCCTTTGTGCACTCTAGTTTCATTTATAGTCAGGTGCAACACACATCATATTTGAAAGTTACTTCATAGGTCTCTTTTTTTAAAAAAATAAAATAGCTGTTTGAACCAATGTATGTGACTCAAACTAAGGTGGTTTTAGAGTACCTTTGTTTTGACTATTTGCTGCCAAATGTCATATAACAAACAAATTAAACTCCAAATACAGGGGGCCCATCTCCACTAAACAAGACTATAGTAAAAGATGCTACTTGAAGTGTGTTTTTTGCTGTACAATCCTTAGCTTTTCTCATTTTCTTCCCCTTCAAGCACTGCTCAGTTACATTTGTCCTTTGGATGACAACCTTCTCTGCAGCTGTCATTTATAGATTGCTGTGAACCTGGAAAACGGGCAGTATTTGGCCTGTGGCTATGGAGAGGAAAGTACCTCACAGGTAACATCCTACAATGGTCTGTTGTAACTCGATGAATATGCATGGCATATTCTCCCTGCGAGATACTTGAAGACTTGCAGCCTTTGGATCTTATCTGTAGCCATTACCTGCACTGCAGAACTGACCAGATGTCCTACTCAGGGCTCCTTATGAACTTTCACTGCTTCCCGCTACACTACCTTCTTAAACCCAAACCTCAATATTAATTGCAGTAAGAAAAGGAAAACTTCATACAGTTTGGCCGTCACTCACCTTGCCCCCAAAATGTTCTCTTCAACACACAGATAAAGAAGTTTCATAAAACCTACAATCCAGTCTCCCATCAAAGCATGCTCTCCACTAACGTTCCACTCCTACTCTTTCATGGGAAAGACTGCAAAAGGGAAATTGCATTTCCCACAGTATTTGAGGCATTTTGATGGTGGTTTTCAATACCTGCACTTTAAGAGCAGTTATGGGGCGTAAGTTTTATAGGAAATAAAAATTTCACTTTAAATCATTCCATGATGATGCTACAGAAGGTTATCAGTGGCAAGGGCCGAAGAAGGCACTCAGGAGGAAACTTACTTGGAGAAAAAAAAAAAAGAACAATTAGGAGGCAGGATGAACAACTAAGCATAACTTTAAACAGCAGATGTGGATGCGAGTCTCTATCCTTCCCCTGTCTTCCTATACTTGATAGTACTTCACATCATGAAGTGAGAAAACAATTACGACGATTTTAAGTTCGGGCTGTAAACACCCCCGCCTGACATGGCCAGCACAGGTGATGCCTTCCCTTTGCCGCTGCTGCTGTTACAGGTGAAAAGGCCCATTTCAAATACTGCGTAATCCAGACTCTCATCAGCAGGAGCTCTCCACAGGTAAGGAAGTTTTACTGGGGCTCTAGATGTATATAACACACTAACATTACTTAAAATACCATGTGCATATAAGTATTTCAAGAACGTATGCACTCTGTTAATCAAACTAAAGGGAATTAGTGATTTCCTAATCTACCGAGTACTTTAAAAGTTCTCCATGAAACTGTAGGGTTATGGACAAGAACGGTGTGACTATGCATTACAGCAGAAAAAAAAATGGAAGACAGTACAAGTTTCATGTGAATCAAAACTATACGTAAAGTCTCCAGTTTAGTTCATAAAATGATTTGATTAAAATATTTTAAATATCTCATAATGGTATAATAATTGCCAATGTAATTTATGCAACAAATTCCACCCATATCCAAAAATACCATCTATGTAAATGCTTTTTTATAAAACTTTATACAATTCAAACTCTCATTAGGTAAGCCTATACACAATTCTTACAATCACCTAGGTAGAAAGTCTTCAGAAAAGTATATTCTCAAAGAGTCCATGAACAACAACGCTTCCATGAGTCTTCCCTTTTGACAATCGATTCTGCTAAATCAAACTCTTATTGCTTAAAATCAAAACAGACGGGTTTCATCAACAACAACAGCACTCAATATACCACACCAGTCTGGGGAAGGGACCTGCTTTCAGTTTTATGGGACAGAAATATCTATAAGCCTTGTTACCATTTCCGTAAAGATTTCCACGTAACTGTCACTTGTCCTGTACGCTTCGTACAGAGAACAAAAGAGGCATCACTGGGAGGGAGGGAGATCGGTGGCAATGCATACATTTAGTGACCAGTGTCTCCCTCTTCATTTTCTAATTAATTCTGTAATCTGTTTTATGATTTCTGCAAATACATCTCCAACTATAACTGAAAACAATCTGATCAGATACAAGACACTACAAACACCAAATCTAAAATGTGCAAGAACAATGTGAATATAATGCCTTTGCAGGCCTAAATTCACAGCTGGTACTATGCCAAAACACCTCTACAGCAAGCTTTATTTACACAACTTCCAATTAAAAATACTGTTATCTCTCAAGGTACATTTTAAATTAACAGAAATACATCCATAATAACTACTGGTAAAAAACCATGATAAAATTATTTTATTTTTTTTTATTCAAAATATTCTGACAGTTTAACAATATTCCAGATGCATTACAAACACTGCCATAGTCAACACAACAATCAATACTTAAAGAGCACTCAAACACTGAAGACGTATATCTTAAAGCAGAGACAGGAGAACGCGCTTATACTCAGAGCATACAGATAATTTTCCAATAATTGACTTCTTTGAGGCAGATGTCTGATTTCTCCGGCACAAAATGGATTAAAACCCAGAAGAGATGAATTACAGAGGACAAAAATTCAGATTATGAATGTTTCCCTCCGTATTTTCTATAAAACATGGTGAATTTATCATACAAGGCCACTACCAGCCTAGACTACTCTAGTGTTGACTATTTATAGGATAGAACAACAAAATCATAACAGAGAAACCAGCATCAAAGCAAACAAAACCATAAACTCTTCCTGGAATATGGCTTAAATTAGTTCACAGAGAGTTGGGAATATATTAACTATATGATGCAATGGAAATACCAGGTAGAAGAAAAATACTTCCTGATATTTTCCCCTTGGCCTTCACCATAATTTGCATAAAATTTTCAACAAAATGATACTGCCCCTCCTACAAGTGTCTTTTCCCATGCTTCAAAAAACATTATGTTTCTAACAGATTGGTTTCATTCTTGAATGTGTTGGCCAATATTAGCTCTAAAGTTTAAACAATGTAGTTCTACACATAATACCCTGTTTCTTCCAATTAACCCAGCTTCGAAAAGAGCTAAAATTTCAGCTTTATTTAAAACAGCATATTTGTTTGAAAAAGTATTTATCTCTTTTTGATATAGAAAACACATGTCAAATCAAGAACTTGCAAAGATGTGTACACAAATGAGTGCATAGTGCAGAACATCATACAGAGAGAGCAGCAAGGCCACAGTGTCACATTAAGTCCATATGTAAAAGATGTGTATTTCCAATGACCAAATCCATTCTAAAAAGGTTTTACTGCTGGGACTTGCTTAAAGCATTAAAATCTTGCTCTAAGGATGGCAAGACTCCTCCGTCCCGACTTTTTGTATAGCTGACTATATATGCATGGTAGGACAGCCACATACACAGCACACAGAAGAGACACACCAAAAATGCTTTGGATACATCATCCTGATCTCAAATACTCCATATGAAAGCTTTAATTTTTCCTGTGTTAAAGAAGGAATTGGGACAACTTTCAAATTACACAGCTTGCCTGTGTGTCATTAAAAAAAAAAAAAAGCCGGCTTTAGCCCATGGTGAGAGAGCCAAACTCCATTGCGACAAACGGAGGTACGTCTGGTTGCTCCAGGGCTGAACTGGATCTTCGCAGTAAAGGGTCCTTCACCTCTATTGCTCGTCGTTTCCAGTCGGTGCTCCCCAGCAGTGGAAATGTGAAACGCTTGTTGCAAAAATACAAGCGGCAAACAGCTAGAGGAAATCTCTGTATGCTTACACAAAATGCTTTGTTTCCCCATTCAATTAGTTTGCTTTTAAAAGCAATGTTTTTGGAGAAGGGCCATGAGAACAAAGGAGTGAGGCATTTCCCTTAGTCACAACATCAGACACTCCATTAACAGACTAACTTAATCTCCTAAACCAAATTAGTTCCTGGAACATCTCGCATTTGCATTCTTTTACTCTTCCTTAGGAACAAACAGTTTCTCTAGCAGTTGTGCAGTTTAAGCCTGTTACAACATTTTACTCCAGCATTTTCTTAGCACCTCAACACAAATTACGTTGTAGCTTGTCTGTGGTGAACATCGGCTACGGACAACCACTAAGAGGGGAAGTGCCCACACCAGTGTTGAAATAACAGCAATATCGTGCCATGACATTGAAAAGCACTTTTTGATACACTGGCTTCCAGGTTCGACTACTGACTCAAAACGGGATTTCTCTCAAAGTAGGGTTAACTCCAGTTATTTAAATACGGTAAACACAAGAGGGCAGTACTGAGGACATCAATCCTGCACTTCATAGTTTTCAGTCCTTTTTCTAAAAACCTGTTAACGGAGATACGGCTCAGTGTCAAGGCTAAGTGGGCAAATGTTATCTAGGCTAAAGTCATTACAGGAACTAACGTAACCCTCGCTTATTGTACAGTTGTACTTCTTGGATTTAAGCCAACCACATATATTTCATCCTACTAATTTACCTATCCTGTGTAATCTCAAGTATCTTCATCCTTTCACACTCCCTAATTAACTATCAATTATTTTCCTGAGTGAGATTATAAAAAGTTAAACCCTTCTACCAAAAGTACAAAGACAAATAAAATATAGAACAATACAAACCCAGTTATACAGCATTACAAGTGCAGAAATTCTTCATGTTGTTGCTCTTCTTTATCATTGGCCCCCAGTAAAAACCATAGCAAAGAATTTAGTTATCCAAAATATTTTGAAGTACTGTGATTAAATTCTTCAGACCATAAATGTAGCCCTCATCCTTTGTGTTGCTGGGAAACACATGAGCAAAATCTATCATTCGGACTTCTACGTTTGCGCTTTCCTTGATCTCTGCTGGCATGTGACAGAAAACTTTTTCCAGTTGGGGTATAACGTTTCCATTCAGATGCTCCTGTGTAATGCAAGTGCTGCTTTTCCACACGTTGTCTTGCTCCAAGTTTTCAACTTTTAGTGAGAGTTGACTGTGATGCCTCTTAGAGTATGCCTTTTTGTGAAGTGCATAAAATTTGGACAAGCCTTTACTTACAGAGGCCTCAATTTTTCCATTCTCTGTAGAATTTATTACATGAATATTATTATTATACTCCAGTATGTCTCCACCTGATAACAGTCCTTTGGGCACTCCTCTCTTCTCTGCCAGGGTGACATCACTCAACCTCACAGTTGTTGCCTGACATGAACCTTCATAAACAAACAGTAATGAGCTTGCATAAAAGTTGAGTTGCGCCTGGCCCTCAAACCACTCCAAAATTTTTTCAATCTTCTGAATGCTGGCAGCTATTGCATCTTTTCTCAAGCAGTACCCATTGTGGAAAAACTTTGATATGCCTGCAAGAAATAGACACATTTTGGGATTATTTTCACCTCTAAAAAGAAATCAAATATTTTTCATTTCTTTCAGGATGAGAACAGTTCTTGATTTGAAGAAACGGACAGCATTTACGCAGTTTCCTTTCAGGCAATTATTAACTAAATCAGAAGTGAACCGAGGAACTCAGATACCTTCAGTCACCTCACCTGTATAAGGCCGGCTGTAAAATACTACAGATTGGGCTTGGATTGTAAATAAAATTAACTAATCAATGTATCAATCAAACAGTAGATGAACGTGATTCCTGCTCCCCATGTCATTTTAGCAAGCATCTGGACAGTTTTGGGCAGGGACCCATTAAATTCTCCAGGGATAAAGAAGCTCAAGCAGCTCTTCATCATGAGTGACAGAGCTGACAAGTTAGTGCCAGCTCTGGAGAGGGGTGTGTTTGTGCATGTGTCCTCCTGTTTCTCGGTGGGGGACAGATGAACAGACATCTATTAATAGCTAGTTTGAAATAGTTATCACCACCAGACAGATGTACGATGGTAGCATTTTTATTTATTGTTAATGTAGAGCAACATACGGATTGACTTCAACCGAGAAGGTCACTAACTGAAAGATGCATTTACAGTAGCTTTCTAATACAGAAGACAGGATATAGTCACAGAAGACAACTAGAGATAAAAATTACATATATTCTAAAAACATTTAATACTTCTAAAAGTTTTCTATTTCGTTAGCATCTCAAAGCTGCAAAGAAATTGAATTCTACCACTATCACCCCCTTATTAGTAGTAAAAGGCACGCGATGAGGAAATTCCTATAGACTGCACCGCTGTTAAAGCCAACTGCAAACTTAATTTAGGATCGACAGGTAGTTCAAATGATACGGGAAACTGCTAAAGATCCATCTGGCAAGAGGAGAAAAAGGGACTTTTAAAATGGGAACACACAGACTACTTTTTCCATACAGTTCTATAAGTAAGTGAATAAATGAAAAATATCCAAGAGCACCAAATTCTGACACACGAATTCCCTTACCGTCCTTTACCGTTTCCTTTGTCAAGCTCCTTCCATAGTGCTGGTTTTGCGTCTCATAGCTGTCAGAAGAGACATGGTAAACCTGCAAGAAACAAGGAGGTAACTGTACTTATTCCGAACAACAATATTTCTGCAGAGCTATGAGACACCTTACAGACAGGCTACAAAATCTTTGGTACCATTTACCGCTCGCACAGCTTTAAGTTACTTGCAGAGGTCAGCACTGCCCTCTAGTGCTCTGATCTGCAAAATCCTCCCCCTTCACATCTTGGGGTCTAAGCTACAGCTTTCCTGCATCAGAAAGACATCGTTATGTTGGCAAAAAGCAACATGTCCATTACGGGAAAACATTGTATGCGGCACCTGCCTTGCAAATCAACGCTAAGACTTGAAACTGTCATACTCCTACCCATGTTACTACGAATATTAAGTCAGCAAGACATAACAAGCTCAAAAATTCAATGCAATTATTTTGCAGTTCTTAAAACTATAAAAATATTAAGCACAGCAGCAAAACAGTAAGAAATACTATGATGTCACCAGGAAGGCCCAGCTCCATGAGACCCATCTGAAACTGTAATTGTTGGCACAAATGAAGTTATACTAAATAAGTGACAGCAGTCGAGTGAAAGCTCGGTTCCAGCACTGATAGTGATACATCAGCTCTCGCCTGAAAGGGAGGCAACTCATACGGGTACAGCTTTGTCCATATCAGGAATTGTACAAGCTTAACAACTTAATTCAAAAGTGTTTTACATAGAGACACATTTTCTCTCTAACTGAAATAATTTCCATAGTAGAAACGTGCCAGCCAGCCGGGCCCAAGTATAATTTGTTTATGAGAGTGTAGACAACTCTTATTTGCAGAGATAATGGTGTTACCAAGCAGGCAGTTGTCTCTGGCAGAAACTTTGGGCTTGGCACTTGTTCAGACCACCCAACCCTGCGGCACCCATCCTGGCTGCAGCGCTCTGCCCTCCCTTCACCCGCCATAAAAAGAGGATCCCACAGAAAGCAAGTCAGGGTGCACCGGTGAGGCACCTGCCCCTGATCCCTCCTTTGGGGTCTTTTTCTTGCTGTAGCCCACAGAGGAAGTCCAGGACAGTGAAACATCAGCGCATAAAAAGGAGTGGTACCTGAGCAATAGTTTTAAAAAAAAAAAAAAAAAAAAAAAAAAAAAAAATGAATTGTTTCCACTTCCACTGCAGTCCCCCACCCCAAAACCTGTCTCTCCCATCCAAACCATGACGAGCACAATATGAAAACACAGGTCCATAACTCCTGCTTCGCAAAGTAGTTGGGAAGCAAAGCCAAATAGCTCTTATTTTGACAAAAAGAAGTAATTAAACTCAGGGTTTCCAAGGAACTTAAATCATAGGGTGTGGAAATGGATTTAAGTCATCAACCATGAATTGAAGGGGCAGTAAATAATTCTGGTTATACTAAAGAAATAACAGTTGTAAGCCTGAACGTTTAAACTCAGTTGGTAGCAGAGACACTTCCCACTGTTATGACTCCTATTTCCACTGTTATAATAGTTATAGAAACTGGGGCCCTGATATCTACAAATTGCAGAAGAGCATAGCAGAGGTGAGTTATTGTAAAACAGCATCTGACAAATGTGATTTTGGTTTCACGAAAACAATCATTTTTCACCACTTTTTTTTTTCCAAAACACATAAAAGAGGTACAGCATACAACGTATGAACCCAAAGATTACTTATGTAAGTAATTCAGGTACCAAAGTTACTTTCAAAAACACAAAAAGTTTCAAAAATGTTTTAAATTTAAAGAGCCACAAGCCAAAGGTAATTAAATAAAGCAAGAATATAAAAAAACCCCATATTACTTAGGAAGAAGATCAAGAGTCTGATGACTACATCTAAGTTTTCACGAGCTGTGTCTTCATTTTAAGAATATTAGATGTTCTTGTTTAGTTGGTCTAGGGGCAGCTCCCTCCATACACGAGCACCACAGCACACGCCTGAACGAATAATCTTGTTTACCAGAACCTCATCTCTTCCCCGTAGGAGCTAACAGTTTTTGTGACATGGGCACTTGCTCAAAAATGCTGATTAAGATCTGCAAGCTCATTTTGTTTTCCAAAGAAACGCTGGAGCAGCACATAAGCCCGCGGTGCTTCTGAGCTGGGTTTCCTGTGAAGCCACCCTACCTCTTCTCATAATTTGCACAAAACCATTCCCCCCAAATGGCTTTCTATATAGTTTAAAAATACCCAGGCAGATGTGCATGTTTTGCATTAACAGTGCATTTTTAACTATACAAAATGGTTGATGACAAACTACCAAGTCCCACACACATACCAACAGTGTAATGTATATACTTAACTATCTTGTGAACAAGCAAAGACTCAGAACACCCTTGGGTGTACCAATGGGCTTGGCTGCAGACAATAGCATTAAAGGGTGACATATATAGGCAATCATGAAAGTATTCTCCATGTTAGTCAAAGAGCTGTCTCCTAATACTGCTTCAAGCCTTTTCTCAACTGCAAGGAAGTGACTATTTGAAACATTCCTGGAAAACCCCAACCACAAATACATTAAGCCCCATACTGAAAGCAGAGGAACAGAAAACCAAGTTCAAACAGAAATAATCTTTCCCCGGTTCTTGCTTCACCCTCACCTTCCCCCCCGAAACACAGGGATGGCTGTGCTGCAGTAGCAGAAGACTAAAGTCAACTTCCTAGTCTACAGACCTCTTGCTTCACTGTGCTTTTGTTCATGCTGTCACTGCTACTAATCTACTGCTAACCCTTCCCAAAAGGGTATTTGCCTTTGAACCAACCTTTTTCTGTATCCCTGTTGTTGCAGCTGTCTGTACTAGCCCATTTCTGTCAAAATGATGACAAGTCAAATAAGTCAAATCCATAACCTTAACAGTGGCCAAGAAATTATTAGACAGGAAAATCTCATTTCTTGTCCACCTGTCGCAGCTCGTTACGTGTTTGCCCTGTATTCACAAGGAGTTTCACTGTATAGTGCAAGACAAAGAAAACTTCTTATATGATCTGCAAAACATTGCCTTCAAGAAAACTGCTTCATCAGTGATTTTTATACACGCTTACTACACGAGATCAGAGTCGTTTTGGCTGACAATGCGGAGGCTCCTCCTTGTGCCTACAAGCAGCTCTCATTCGGTGAGGTTTCTGCATAAACACAACTGGAATCTGGCACGCTAACAGGTTCAGTTTTTTAATTAGTAGTGGTAGGGACTCTCTATGGGCAGCATGTCAAAAAATCCAGATGATTAACTGTTGAGGGAAATTATCTTCAGACTTTCTCAACCTGCACTTAGCTCTTCTCCACGAGGTGTTAAAGTTATTGCTGCTTGCATATGCACACATATTTTTGTACCCTTTTTTCAATTACAGTTAGTTCATCTGATGTTCTTGAACTGAAGGAAACCTTCAGCTAGAATAAAAAGTTGGTCCAGTGTGGTCTTTAAAAAAGCACAACCCTTACAAGATCTCAACAGTGAGATACATCGTTTGGAAACCCTGCAACTGCAGCTTTAGGACATTAAGCTGAAGACTTGACTGAGGAAAACAAATATCAAATGTTATGTAAAGTTATTTACGGTAATTCAGTACCGACTTCCATGGTGAGGCAGAAAAAAACCACACTGTTCAAATACTTATCTGCGGCAACTCCCTAACTTCCAGAAAGTATAATTTAAATACATATCAATTAAGACTAGCCTGTTTGGTGGAGATACTGCTAGCACAAATAAACTCTATTAAATAACTTGCAGAGCTCTTTCACATCTGCAAAAAATATTAATCAATCCATATCACTGAAACTGGGGAAAAAAAATATTTTGAGCATGCTCATACAGTACTACAGAGGGGTACCTGCAGAGCGAAGGCTAACTCGACTGCACGCATGATATGGACTCGTGCACCGCTGACACTCCCATGTGCTAGCTGGTGCCTGGGAAGCAGTTTCCCACGGAGCTCCCGGTGCCCGTCCCTGCTCCCCAGCGTGCCCCACGAGGGCAGCCTGGGACCTGCTCTTCTAAGCAAGGACACAGAGATTAGAGATACACGCTCTGATGCCGAGACATCCAGACTTCAAAGGGCAAAGGGCTGAGCTGTCCACCCTTCGTATTTTTTCCATAAATATACTTAACAGTCACCCCTATTTTACACTCATACACGTAAGAGTGAGCGAGTGTTTAAATATTACACAGTGTTTTCTGTTTACAGCAAGGCACCTCTGTGCTCCTAACCGGCATCTGAAGGTCAGTACCCAGCCTGCTGCCAAAACTGGAGCCAAGTCAAAAGTGGGGGTAAGCAGCACCCCAGCTAACCCAAGGACATCCAACATCAGCATCAGTCCACCACCTTTGCAGGGGGCAACTCCAGCGCCAGGTGGAGACCCACACCTGCAAATGGGTACCTTTTGCCTGGACCTCACGATTGTCCCTATGTCAATATAGAGGTTTCCTTCACATCTAAAGAACCCGGGTTTCTCTGCAGTCCTGTGATCTCTCAGGGACTGATCCTGCCACAGTGGAAGACTTAAACACTGAGTTTTAACATGCCTTATTTTTTCTTTTTCCAAAAGAAAGTAAAACAGGGATTTGAAGAAAAAATAACAGAGGGAGAAATTTTAAAAAATACATTCTCTTATTTGATACTACAGTGTTATAGCATTACTATAAAGCAATTACTGCTGCGGAGAGCATGCCCATTTATCTAAATCCATTTATCTACCCCCCCCCCTTTTTAAAAAAAATAAAACCAAAACCCTTATGTTGTTGCTAGACCACAAGTGATGAAAGTACACACATCCCTGCTTGCTGCTGGCTTGAAAATTCAGCACAGGAGGAATGCATCCCTGCTCCCCTGTTTCTAAGACTATACTTATATATTATTTCATCTGTTTTGCTTCTTTGTTCTTCTGGTATTTGACAGAGTGCTTTATATGAATAAGTATACCACCAAATGCTCTGACAATCAATATAAAGTTTTAGTGAGTTCCTTACATAAATAAGTTGTAGAATGAAATTATGTTGAAACTAATTCAGTGAAAAAGCAGACCAATAATCTCCTAAATAAAAGACAACGACACTGCAGTTAAGCTATTTTTAAAATGGTTCATGATTTAAAACATAAATTTGGACTCCCAGAACTTCCATGGAACACCTCATTAGAACAAATGTCTTTTGCCTCCTTTTTATATACTGGGGAGGAGGGGAGGCCATCTCTCATCTCATTCATCATCAGCTTTTTCCTAACATACAAGAAATCTTATCAGCCATAAGGATACAAGTGGACCAGCTGTCATATACATGACGAGTCTTTCACATAAGGAAAAACTGTTGGAAAAAAATGCCAGGGTACAGGTACCCATCTGCTAGAACTCGCCCAAGAGGATAACAGATCAATCTCCTGAACTCTACCAATTAAGTACTTCTGAAACATACCCTTCAATCCACTAGCAGATACCAGACTCCGAGGAATTGCTGCATTTAGTTCCGCAGCATGAATTCGGCACCATCAGACTGAGAAACAGATGAGCCCAACTCAACTGCAAGAACCAGGGAGTGGAAGTGGAAAGAGAGAAAAGCAGAGGAGGCAGAGGTGCACAGAGGTAACAAAGCCAGCACAGAGAAACCAGCCAGAGCCTTGGTTTACTGCTCATTTCAACCACTGCAGACATCCACTTCCAGACTTTTTGAGGGACTTGCTTGTTTGGAGGGTTTTTTGTTTCAGAGCTTTTGGTTGGTTTCTTTGGTTTGCTATGGGTTTGGTGTTGTTTCGGTTTGTTTGGGGTTTTTTTTGTTTTTTTTTTTTTTTTTGTAGTTTCATGGCAGGTTTTTTTAGGTTTTGTTTTGTTTTGTCTTCCTGTTTTCTTAAACATCAAAGCTTGAATTAGACTTATAAATGTAAAAAACCCAGTTCTGGTCATTTTTTACTGTGGAAGAATATGAACACTAGATGCAGGATTTAAAAGCTTTATTATTCCTCCCTTCCTAAGTCTTGTTATTAACACATCAGAGCTTATGAAAATTACCATGATACTAGAAAGGGTTCATAAAGAACTCATAAAATGGACACAGCTACAGTCAGTTTTAAAATATCTTGCAGGAACATGTGCTGTAGATTAGGAAATTCACTTGTAAAAACAGCTTTGATGAGCTATCTGCATTACTGCATGCAATAGTTAGTAGGCACAAACAATAAAAGTAAATGATGGATTATACTGGTGAAGTTACGTAATCACCAGTTTGTGCTTTAAAAACATGCTTCAGAAATATTATGGACTACGTGATATTGCAACCAAGATGTTCTGGAAGAAAAAGAAAACCTGCAGAAATTGGGAATTGTGGATTCTGAATGGATTGCAAATCTGAAATAAGATCACAACCCACTCATTCTGCTTGTATACAACAGCATACAAAATACTCTATTTTTAATACTGCATGCACTGCAAAGATATTTCTTATATATTTATGTCTACTACTGAAACCATATTGCAACTTGTATTTTTGCTATTAGAACCGCACCTTAGTTTTCCAACTTACATTTAAACTCTCACTACTTTTGTAACAAATCTATGTCCTCATCTGTTAAAGAAAGGAACCTCTCCACTAAATATGAAATTGGTTTTTCAACCAATGTTATCGAAATGCCTGTGTTTTCTAAATGTGTTTCCATGTATTTATTCTGTCTATTCAGTGCATTAAGATGAATATAGTTTAGCACATGCCAAATGCCAGAACTATGTACATAAATCAAAGCTCTGCCAGACAGGAGACTCACTTCTTTTAAGGACAAACCATACACATTTTATATATAAACAGATGACCACTTATTTACCAGTGCATTAAAAAAAAAAGCTGTATCAGTGGCTTTTGGGGTAAAAACCCACCACAAATAACTTTTGGGGTAAAAACCCACCACCTATAACACATTTTTGCTTGTTATCTCTTCATGACAGCTTATATGATGTGTGCTTTAAAAAACATAGATAACTGCATTTTCTATTTTTCCTGGCCCTCTCTTCCTTGCTCTTCTAAAATAGAAACTTAATAAGCAAGCCCACCTCCATGTTAAAAATAACATTGAACGGAGAGATTAAAAACAAACCCCTCTACTTTCTGAATCGTGTTATACCATCTTTTGTCCTGCAAACACTAGCAACCTTTACCCAGCACGTTAGCTGTTACAGGCAGTAAATGCCCGCACAGGGGAGTGTTTTACATTATAGCCAGAATCTTGCAAAAATAAAGCAAGCAGACAGGCAGAGAGCACCCCATAATCAAGAGGCAGCAAGCTGAGCAGAGAAAATGCCTTGTGAATTTAGACTTTGCTAAGTGTTGCGTGAGGGGAGGAGGAACCTTTTGAATTCTTTTTGGAAAATAACTTCCAACATACCAAAGGCACAAAACAAATCTCATCTAGTTAAACACCGGATGGGAAACTGCAATGCTTGGGGGGAACCATCATTATACATACAGTTTGAATTAGGGAATCAAAAGAATTTCTACAACAGGATAAAGATACCAATAAATGACAGTGTTAGAAACAATAGTCACAAACAAAAATACCATGGAAGCAAGCATTCATTCCTTTTGCACTGTCATGAAACAAAGGATGTGAAGTACATTGTTTTACACATGAGGTAAGAAAGGTTACGTAACCACATAAACCAAATCCAAAGCTATAATCTCCAGCCTTCCTTCTCGATCTAAACTGTTTGACTGGTTTTTGACTCGACTCCCACGTTCCTTCTCATAGGCTTACCTAATTACTACTCATGACCACTATAATTTATAGCTGTAAAAGCTTATCTCAAGACAGAGTTAAGGCTGAGCGCCCAGGCAATTAAGTACAAAACATTACAGAGATACTAGAATTATTTCAAACAATGGTGCAATCTGTGTGCTGTTGCTATCTAATGGCAAAGGGGAAGCTTATCAAAGTCTTCAGCCATTTATGCTTGTTGATGCAGAGCTTGAGAAGCCCTGGCTTTGGGTATGCGAGAAGGAAAAACAAAAATCTCACATCAAAAAGAAAATTATTCCCACGCCAATCATAGCAGAAAAAAGTACTTTAAATGCATTGCATCAGGAATTCATTACTGACACCAACACATTTATGTTACTGATCCATAAGTGTTCTGTACAGCTTTTCTTTACATTGAAGTTTTAGAGTAGCCAATACACAAATATTGAATCTTCATCTTTCTCCTCACCTAAGTTAAGGAAACATCATAGAGTTAGTACGGACATCTGCAGAGCCTTATCCATCTCAAACGAACCTTCAACTGACAGATGTTCCTCGAGCGCGTAAGCATCAAAGATGTTTTCTTCTGGTGGAAAGCTTTTTTAAACGCAGAACATAAGCAGCTATTTATAGCTATATGCATCACCTCTAAGAGCTAACTTACTCTTCCCTAAATAGGAAAATTACATAAAAATTATTTTTATTTTTAAAAAAATGAAGATGAAAAATTTGGAGAGGATACAGCTCATTATTAAATTATTACAAAGACTGGTTCAGTATGTAAATCTCTGATATAAGCCCGAAAGTCAAAAAAATACTTTGATAATTTGAAATATCTGCTATGCGAGAAGAATTAATTGCAACTACATTCAGTTTTAAATACCTATAGTCTGTCCCAACCCCTTTCTTGTATATGTATACAGCACCCAGGTTGCAAGTAGATTCCCAGAAGGGACACGGCCAAGTTAAAACACTTGTTGTGAACAAGAGCAGTGTTTTGGAACAAATTTCACACAACAGTTGATACCAGTACTACCAATATATTCAGATAACACTTTATTTACGTAAAACTCAAGAGGATTGTCATTTGCTAGAAAAACTAGTCGCTGTATCTGGTGTGGGACAACAGACCAGAGCATAAGCTGAATTTGAAAACAAAACAAGTTCTTACCCTCATGCCAAGTACCAAAAAGCCAATCTCTTCCATCAGCGGGTACTTGCTGACCTGCTGCTGTATCTTCTCAGCTGAAGCATACGGATCATAACTTTTCTGACCTATTTTTACATCCATTATGCAAGGCTTATTAAACTTACGGGTCACATCTTCCAGTTTTAGATACGTATCTGTTAAAAAGACAAAACTTTCATAAACAGCGGGTCAAAGCAAAATAATTATCTAGTTTCTGCTGAGCTTCTGTGGAGGAAGGAGAATAGTTTAAGGCTTAACATCACGTGAGTTCTTTAAGAGTCAAATTTGTCTCTGAACACAGACCAAATCATGGTCATTGATACCCACAAATCCTGTCGGCATTAAATTCTAAATGCCTTATTGTTTAGAAAATTGTATACAATTAAAGTGTGCTAACCTAGCACTCAAATTCAAATTATTGCCCAGATGAAATTCATGAGTAGCTTTTATTAAGCCATTAACATACTTCAAATAGCATTAATAAGCACATACAAATGCAAGTTACTACATGGTTGGTTTTGCAATGGAGATGGTGTTTTCTTTCTCTGTGTGAAAGGGCTAGAATTAAACCGGCAATTTTTCTTTGTGTCATATTAAAAATGAAATTAACATTTTGGAGTCCTACCCTACAGGGGCCAAAATGCATCTCATTTTTCCTTCTTTCTATCCCACTCCCATCTGTACTCATTTCTCATGGCACACCTTTTGGTGAAAACACTCCTCAAATCCTAGGCTGCCTTTCATCCATTTCCAGAAGTCCCTTTGGGAGGGTGGGTGGACCAAAAAACCCCAAGCCCTTGGACTACCTGAACATTTAGAGGAGTATCTAAAAGCTGGTCAAACTGGTTTACGCTTTTCTCCAGTGCAGGTAAGAGACTATTACCAACGTGATCTACAGCACAGATTGTCAGAACACAACAAGAAAACAAACTTCAGTAACTACTTGACTTGCAGACAACTCTGCTTGGAGGAAGCTTGCACGGATCTCCAGCCCTTGCCAAGGCATGACATGCACCAAGACACCACACAGCATTAACACATGTCTCATTCTTTGCATCAGCTTCTGCAAATCCACCTGTTATCAGTCACAAACCTCGCATTAAAGTTTGTCTTTCAAGTACGCCCTATTCCATGAGTGTACTTCTTTGGCTTTAATGCAATCTGAATACACAAAAACATTGTATTATTTCCCATTCCTGCAGCATAATCTAAAATGGGATGGCCAAAGAAAGCAAAAACAGTTCAAGTTTAAAGAGAGAAGGGGGACGAAGTGCCTTGTTTTGATAGCAGTACAGACAGGTAACAAAACCAGTTAGAGTCAAGATAGAGGGAACAAGCTATGTTCCATTTCCACTTAATAAGTAGAAACACTTTCTTAAGGATAAGAAATGAAAGGGACTTTTATTACTTTAATAAGTCCTACTTAGAGCTTCAATTTTTACACCATCATGATCGAATGTCCCAGTTCCCCAAAGCACATACATATCAATCTGAAATAGGTTTGATTTAATCCTTAGATGCCTGCTTTATGTATAAATGGGACTAAGCATATCGTTACTGTAAAGTCATTCTCAGGAAAGCATGTCAAACCAATACACTATTTTAAAAAATGCAGTCTTCTACTAACTCACTTTATCAGCTTACAGTGCTTTTCAGTGTCCTTTGGGCTATGGAATCAATCTAGCTACAGCAAAAAGTTTCATTATAGACTAGCTCACCCATAAACCAGGTTTAACTACAACTACAGGGATATCCAAGCTAAAATAACTCATAGCTAACTTTGAGAAGCCACAGGCAGCAAACATACTTGCTATTTGCTCACTAGATATCCCCTAAGGAGAAGCAGGACAAATACTCTCCCTACCAAGAAGCGTATTCTGTACCACCTGAACTGCAGTTGCCAGTTTTCTATTCCAAGTTTTTATACACAGGTCTAATTCAGTCAGATATTAGCACAGCTCTCACAGGGCTTTGCGGAACCACTACTGAATCCAGGGGAGTCCATATAACCTGTTAGCTATCTGTTACTAAAACAAAAATTGTAAAAAGCTAAGCGTCATCCTTCACACCTATCCTTTTTGCATATTACGGAAATCACTGTAATCAACAGATTTGTGTCATCACTCTAAAACAATCCAGAAAACAACTAAATGAAAGTCAAGGTTTTCAGCACTTAGCTCTCAGAAGCACTGAGCCAGAGGTATGCCATGGGAGGTGGGGTAAAAAAATAAATACAAAAACATCTCAGAAAATGGCTGCAACCTTTCACCACCAACTCCAAAATGCTTTGGATTATGTTGTGAGCACCTCCAGACTCAAACTGTTACAAATACAAAATTATACAAATTGTTTAGATGCAATGTTTTTATAAACTAAAATATAACTGTATATAAAGTAGTGTAAAACATCTATTTCCATAATGCAACAAAAAGTGAACCCATAAAAATAACTAGCTTAAAAAGCAGAACTTAAATCTCCCAAAACCTAGCATACTTCCCTTCAGACAACATGCAGGTAAGATAGTTGCGCTCCTTCCATCAACGGCATCCATGGTTATCCGCTGTCCTGTACTCTACTGGTCCAAATCCCTCTTTTTAAGCACACAGCACCAACATTCAGCACCTCCAAAATATTTAAAAGTTCTAAATATCTGTCACTTTTTAGTTCCCCATCCATTTCAGATCTGTTAAGCTAGAATATCTCCCTTACTAACCTCCTAAAAATGTAACAATTACTATTTTAAAAAAATTAAGCATTAAAATAACTTAGGAGCTAACACTAACCCTGGGAAATACTAATTACTTGGCAAAGCCTGTGAACTATCCAGAAATGACTCATCTCTCACACTTTTTAGAATTATAATTTGTGTCTTCATCGTTAGCTAACTGCTAGCTCAGAATTAAGACTATGTTACATCTGTTCAATGTCCAAGTCCACTCTCAAAAAGCTTTTTGTCCTTGTGGGGAGAGCAATGCCACCACAGATAAAGCATTATACCAAGTTATTTTTTCTCATTACAGCTTCAGAAAAATGCATCAAGTGTTTACACTTTGTTTCTCCTGGCACTGTTCGGTTCTTATTTGCATTGTGTTCAAGATCTATGGTCTACTGAAACAGGCTTCAAAATCACAGTGTCAGAATATATCACAAATTTCAACAGTTACCCCTACAATATCTCGAAGCATTAAGACTAAGGCAAACAAAGTAAGCTTCAGATTTAGATGTCAGTAGGTACTACTACTCTACCTTTTCAAGTCAGGTGCTCTCATAGTCTTTGAGGATCTGACCCCAAGTGTCCTTCTCAACATCATCAACAAGTCTGCAGCTGAGCCTAGATAACTGGAACACTCTCCTCCCTCTCCTTGTTTTGTAAAACAAAAAATTGCAGATTTTTCAAGCAGTTCAGATTTTCTAAATTATTATGTAGTACACTGCTAACCCAATGTGCTTCTGAAAATCATGCATTCACCATCTAAAAACAAGCTAAATTAAAATCCCCTGCAGAGAAAAGAATTCATAAGGATTTTTGTATCTTAGCTTTGGTAGATAATCCTGACTGTATATTTCAAGGATTTAAACAAATCATTCCTCAGAGGCTTGCCCTCCCCCCTTCTATTTTTCAGTGCCAGGGAAGGAGGCAGGAAGATGTGGCTTGACATATTATTTACATATTTTATTACAGTCCCAAAGGAGACAAACCAAAAGACCACCAAAATTCAGCAAGTATGCATGGCATGAACCACTGCAGACTTCAGCACGTACATGCTGATGCATCCAGTCCTCACTGGAATCAGAAGTGACAAAATAACTTGAGGCATCTGACTTCTTCTCATAACTTACAAGACGTCTCAAAACACATGAATAAGCAAGGAAAAGCCTCAGTTGCTCCCAGCAACAAGGGAAGAAAAGAAAGGTTTGAAGCTGGCTTGTATTTATCTGCCCTGTTCTTAGTTTAGGCAACAAAAATTAGAGCACAGTATGAAATGAGCAGCAGTAAAGTTACTTAAAAAAAAAAAAATATGCAGGGGCAACAAGTAGGCAGCAAAAAACAGAACTCCCAGCAGGAGATATAAAAAGCTTAACATGGCTCCTACATCTTTACAACAACTTTTCCACTTCTTTATTAATAAACTCCAAATGCCCACAATGCCAGTGAACCCAAAGTTCAAATCAATTTGTCTCACTCCAATTTTAGATTAGCTTAGGGAGATGGAGTGTCATCCACCTCTAACTCCATCTCCTGTGCAGTAGTACCAGGTACGCGAGTTCAGCATAACAGGACAGCTCTTTTACAAATTTCATTGATACTGTGAACATCAGTGCATCATCTTTTCTGTCACACTTCCTATAGTCTCATTTACACTTAATACCTTTCACGCCTTTTAGCTTGCAATTTCATCCACTCATCTACATTTTCAGCATAGAAGACATGCTTCTCCCTAAATATTTCTCTAAGAAAATGAACTCCTTGTGTTCTCCACCTTACCCACCACAGTTCCTGCTTACCTGTCACATGGAAACTCAGAGATGGTCACAGATCAAGTTCAGAGTGGTCCTAAATTAAGTTACTCTGGTTTTTTTCCTACCACAAGCCTATGATTCTCTTCATGTCTGTGTGAACCCACTCAAACTCTCAACCCTCTACCCAAGATAACAACTATGATGCTACACATACAAAACACCATTCACCAAAGAGCCGCCCTCCTTACTTATCTCATAAAAGAACTTTATATGAAACAAGGACGCCAATGGCCATCCTCTCTCTGCCCTGGCAAACCAGGCAAGCCGTTGTTCCTCCACACAAACACTCTTAAAAAAATATATATAGTTCAGAACATGTAGCAAGCACAGTTTGGTAGCTGATAGATTGTTTTATTTAATTCTTGGTTTTTTAGAAGTCACCGATGCCCAATTTAACAACAATGAGGAATTATTGGGTTTACTACTCAGAGGTTGTATGGAGCTGTGTTCCCAGAGTCTGTAGAGCAGTGACTACTAAAGGAAAGGTCAGGCTTCCAACGTCAAGACTGCAAAAACCTACAAATACATCCACAATCTAAGAACTAGATACCTTTCTAGCAGCTAGATTCCCTCATCTAATGTCACTGGGACAAACTACAGCAGCTAAGCATATTCAATCTTTTGAACCAGAGCTTAATCCACAGCTCATGGGGGGGGGGGGGGGGCAAAAGGAAAAAAAAAAAAAAAAAAAAGAAGCAAAAGGAAAAAAACCCATCCCCAATTTCCCCAAAATAGCCTCTCTGTGTCCCTCCTCTGTGTGGCTACTTCCCCTCTTCCTATTTTTCTAAACTTGTTTTCCTACTTTTTATGCAGTCTAAATGCAACACTGCTGATTCTTTTCACCTCTGGTGCCAAGCACTGATGCACACGTGATGCACAAATGCATCACAGAGGCTTTCCTTCACATCTGGCATTAGCAAAACTGTATTTGCAAATACCTGCTAAACAACAGATGACTTCCAACGTGAATGGCTACCTCCTTAGCTTTGGATGTATCCAGCATGCATGCATTCTGCTAAGCTCCATCATCTCCAATGTATTTGATTTCTATCAAGACTACACAAAACCCATTAATAGTACAGATAACAGAGTTGGCAATGGAACGTTTTGTTTTAACCCCTGCCATAGCTTTCTATGAAAAGGGCTCCCAATAGCGCACAGTCTTTTCAAGAAGTAAAACAAACAAAATCAAAAGTTACTCTTCCTTTAAATAGTTATTCCTACTGGCTACGTCTGGACTACTGGTGGACACCTGCCAAAATTCAGCCCCACAGTGCTAGTGAATTCCCAAAGTAAACTAGGGATGTGTTGAATTACAGTATCTTGGCTAGACCACATATTTTTTACATGTTAAGATCCTACTGTGAATAGAAAAAATTGATTTGCAATTTGGAGGGGACATTAAGTGAGCTCCATGACACACTTAAAATTTTGAGGGAAGGAAAAAGATAGCTCTGGTAGAGCTATTTGAGTTAGTGCCAAATATGAAAGCGTGAAGGCAAGTCTGAGCCAAGAAAGTGATGGGTACTACCACAATCCTCCTTGCATTTATTTTTGCAGAGTTTAGACAGTGTCTTTGGACACTGTCTTACTACTCTCTTTGGAAAACAAGTCTATCAAGTGACAGCATAAGCAAAAGACGACAGAGTTATATTAAAGGAGCACAGCATCTAGTTTTGGTGCCTGTGTATTTAAATAGACTCGACAGCGTCCTTTTGTTTCTGTGTGTCCCTGAAGCTCCATTTCCCCAGCGTGAATAAGAAAAGTCCCCAGAAGAAAAACTAGTTTGTTTTAAATACATCAATGATATCTATTTTCTCTTGAAGAGACAATCTTCCAATTGTCCTCCCAAAATACCTTTTTCTTCCTGACTCCTAACATGTTATACAAATGCAAAGTTAAGATACCAGAGCTTTGTTCCATTCAAACCCGTAACAGAGGATGACAAGCAGAGCTCCCCAGCAAGGTACCCGCTGAAATAACTGCTTTGTATGATATGGGAGATCCAGCAGCAGATTCTAGTTTGAACGCCTCCCCTTAGGCTCCAACCTAGCCATTTTTTCTTCCTTACACACCCACACAGCACCTGTCTCTTGCTCTGATGGCTTGACCAGACATAAACACGCAACCAGTCCGTTCCTCTGACATGACCCAGACCAGAGCAGCAGCTCTGGGGCAATATGCATCAGGTCCAGCTACTTGGGAAACGTTTGCCATACAAATGGCCATGCCCCATCTGCCCTGGGAGGAAGACCCCGAAGTCCTAATCCAGCCAGAGGACTGCAAACTGGAACCGGTTGTTAAGGAGAACGTTAGTGGGTTACAAAAACCAAAAAAACCCTACGGAGCTCACAACTGCCAAAAATCAGTCTCCAGAAGATTTTTCCAGGAGGTTTCAATTAACAGATAAAATTAGAACAGTACCATTTGGTGCAGTAGGTGGTGACCAGACACCGAAGTATTTTGGCAGATATTCCCGCAGCTCCAGAAGAATGCTGTCGCAACAGTCAGAGTCATAAACCTGAAATAAATTAGGGAGGGGCGGAGAGATCATCAGTTTAAAACATTCATTTTATACTTCCAATTGTCCCATAATTATAATTTCTTACAGTCTTTGTTTTCATATGTTTAAGATTTCTACTTTACATTTCAAAAAAATACAAGATGAATATGATAATTATCACAGTCCAACATAAATGAATGGTATCCTTTCTTTCAAATTTTGAAGTGGAAAAGATGCACCAACTCTAACTAAGAATAATCTATGGCTTAACTTGAATAAAAATCTAAACTATAATTGTTAGCATCAAAGCCTATTTAGCGAGAAGGGTGTTCTCCCATCCTGGATCCAAGACTGGATAGGATTACTACAGTGTATCGTATATCCGAAGCTTTTTAAGTTACACCAGGTAAAGTATACAAGCTCAGACTGGATAGTATTTCCTCATTTCCCCCAAAACAACTCATCCTGTAACTACATCACACAGACAATGCACAATTCAAATACATTTCATTTGCTTTAACACTTTCAAAATTTTTTTCAGCTTCTGTAAGAAAAACAAGAACAGTTTGGGAACAGCAGCTGGCTTATATTCCTGAAGGAGCAGTTCTTTGCAGAGTTAAAACGAAGCCTTGGATACTATCTGCTATGGAATCGCATCATTGTCACCAGTTTGCAGTGGTGGTGTTAAGAGGGTTTCAAAACCATTCCCTTGACCAGATTCCCCCCACCCTGCCTGAAGATCTAGTTACAGACATAGGGGATAGCCTACAGCACAGTTCAACATGCTTTGCAGACTAAAAGATCTCTATCCACACAAGTGCAGGTTACAATGATTATTATTGCATTTAGGAACCATCTCATCCTAATCCCCTTGCAGCTATCCCAGTTCTGATGCTATCAGACTCGTGTCCTGTCCCTCAACCCTGCAGTGGCTGCACAGCAATACCCACAGACGCTGCACATGAGTGACCAGGGCAAGCTAACAATTCTGCTTTCACTTCAGTACGCAACGCACAGGAGTGCAGTCAGAGCCCGCTGCAAAGTTGGAAGCAATGCAAAAAGTTATTTAAGGTGCTAACAGAGCTCTGCAGAGTTGGCTCAGCTCATTGCTTCGAGATCCCCATTTAACCACGGTGGGAGAATATCTTGTGATGGAAACTACAAAGGGTAGGTATCGCAAAATACGTGCCTTTAACGTTGTAATATTAATACACCTAGGGAGAAAATACACTCCAGACCTGAAGTCCAGCTACTATTTTAGAGCATCAAGGCAAGCCTCAGCTACGATCACCGATGCCACGTAACTCTAGACTGAGCCTCATGCAGCAGCAGAATGTTAAAATTAGTCAATGCGGGTTTGTGCTAAATTTAGGTTTCATTGCAGAAACCTCAAACTGGGCAAACTCAAATCACCAGTGTGCTTCAAACACACGGCGTTGTTCCATAGCCCTTTAGGCACATCTAATAATGGGGCTCCCCTGGGCTTGTACCAGCCACAATTCTGACACCTTTATGCCAGCACTGTTACTGCACAGGGACCGAGAAGGCAATACAACCAAATCCACACCGACTTTATGCTAGAGCATTTAATTTGACCCATTCCTTTAACCAGCTCATGGTATAAGCCCCATTTCAAAGATCCTAAGGAGGGGGCTGAATCCTCAAAGCTCAAACCACACAAATATGTGCACAGTGTGATGCAAAATACTGACGTACACCTACCACCGCACCCTCTACCACTACTGTTGCTATCTTAAGCATACAAAAGTTGCTGGGTGTGTATCTTACAAGTCACAGTGTCACATCACAGGGCACTGATCTCTTTTCACACGTCCTGGTTTGACAAGCTGGCATCACCTCTTAGGACTACAAGTAATTGTACGTCTAGGCCTATTTTTCCTCCATGTTAACACAAGCTGGTATGCTGATATTCTTGTGCTCTAGGACAAAAAAAAACCTTGCTTGTCCCTGGGATCAGTGGCTGCTGTTTGTTTTTATTTATGCAACATTTCTTTGCTGAGCCTCCAACGTTGCCAGCAGAAGACATTGCTTTCCCCAGATGACTGCAATGTAGCTTGATCTTACTAGCTTAAGGAAGAAAAAAAAAAATGAAGGGTGGGAGAGAAGAGAGAGAGAAAGATAGATTAGCACCACGCAGATGCTGAGGTGCAGACCCATCCACTGCTATCTTTTGTAAGAGAGTTCACTGTTCCCCACCATACAGACGGCTGTTTCTGGGCCAGGACTCCAAGCACTGACTGGTGGAATTACTTCATGCTGTGGGTATTTTCAGACAGGTAGTACAAACCCAATTTTTGTTTACTGGGGTAGTTTATTATCATAGCACCTCATAGCCAAGCCAGGGAATTGCATTGCACCCAGCACAAATACTCTTTTCCCAGGTGAATTTAAGCAGACCTGAGAGGCAGCGACCATAATGCAGTATCACAGCCTTTACATGGGAGGAAGTATATATATTTAGGACAGGACAAAGAGGAGAGAGATGGAAGCAAGAAGTGCAGCAGACAAGGAGGATAAACACTGAATGCAACTGAAAAAACAGGCAAACATAGTAAGAACTCATTTGCTTAATTTATTGGCAAAAAGATTGAGAAAGTGACATGTCAGGAGACCACTTCCATTTTTTAAAGAGAGACAGTACTCTTGCTTTGACTTACTTTTTAATCACCAACATTAGGTGGTTAAACTTAGCAACTTAGCAAGTAACTATGGGTATGCTCCTGTGTATTTCAAATAGTAGGATACAATAAGGATATTCAGATAATTTATAATGGGGTGTAATAGCCCAAAGTCAAGGCCAAATGGGGAAAAGAGCTCCAGGAGTAGTATCTTCCAAGTAGTCCATCCTTTAACACACTGATAGAAGACATTTTAAACAGAGACAAAACTCACAGTAATGCAGTTCAGTATCATTGCTTCAGTGTAACAGAACTAAGTGCATTATTTCTGTCTCTCAAGAAGTTATCTTGCTCCCAGAAACAGTAATAAACTCCCCTCATAAGTTTGATGTAACATATACAAAGCACTTATTTGACCTTAATATAGACCTCAATCTCAGCCTATAATGTATTTGCATGTCAAACAAGAATAAGCACTCAGTTAATAAAGATCAGAAGAAGTCATTTGGCGTGGGCAAAGCAACAAAACCAGACATTTCAGGAATTATGCTCATTCCTATGCAGGAGAGAACCACTTCTGCTCATTAGAGAGGGGCCTCGTAAACAGCACCCATGCCATGGGCATTTCTTCTCATTTCATACAACCTGGTAGCAAGCCACACATTTAGATGTCATTCAGAATGCCAAATATAAATGTATACATGACAAAACCATCCCTAAAGTTACACAGGAAATAAACCCTGCACCTCATGCCCCAAAAGGTATCGCTACCAATAGTGCTGGAAAACTCATGGAAGAGACAGGTTACCACTTACCCCAGAACAGCCTTTAGAAAGAAACCATTATATTTTTACTTATATCAGCAATATTCAAATTTCATTTCAAGCAGCTGCGCCTTTTTTTTTTTTTTAATGTAACAACAGGTCCATTTCTCCAGCATACACTGACAAATATGTCATTTCTGCTTTACTGGTAACTGTACGTAAGGTCTTCATCCAGCAAATCAAGAACTGCAAAACAATTCAGTGTCAGCTCAGACAGTGGAGGTATCCATTCTACATATCACAGGCTACATTATTCCAATAGCACAAATTGGAGACATAAAATGTAATAACTGTTGGACTTAACAGCAAGTAAACAGGATGCTTACATTTGGAGGGCTCACAACATGACCATTACAAATTACAGCAACTAACTCATAGGAAGAATATGCCCCAGATACGTCCTGTGACAGCTCAGATAGTCCAATAGACACCATGAAGTCATAATTTCCAGTTACTCAGGACTTTTTAATTCTGAGGCAAATTTACCATCTCTTAGTCTTTAATCCAAAGTACACTCTGTTTGTTTTGGTAAGTCTGATCCAAACAGATTCATCTGTTTTTTAATGCAAACAGGGGCTGCTTGGGAGAATAGGAATGTTCTTTTCCTTATTTAAAGCAGCATGACATTCAGGTTTTTTTGTTTTCTAAAGACTAGCTAATCACATAAACGACAGAGGGAGGGTAAAACAAATGTTTAAATTTCAACAGGAAACTAGTTCTGGCAGTACAGACCCATCTTCAATTGTCCTGATGAAAAAACACCACTTTGACAGAAATGTAGTCTAAAGAGAATCTTCTAAAGTACATAAAAGAGTTGATTTAAAAGAATATATATTTTAAATTTGCATTTATTTTAAAGCTATTTGAGTAGGAAACTTGAAATGCCAGAGTAGGCATGTCAGTCTGAAGCATCACCTTTTCTTGTTGCCGGCTATCACAAATTGTCCCTAAAGGCAGCAGCACTATAGCTTGCAGAGTCTCAGGATACACAACCAGCTGCCAACATCAGTCAGAGAGTTCAGTTTCCAGTGTGTTTTTTGGGGGGTTCTTGAGGGGTGGGGAGCAGTTAATAAGTCACACGCTCAAATTAGCAAATGCAAGATTTACAGATGATAGTGCAACCTTAATTCTGTCTCCTAATGTGTATGCATTATATTACAGACTTTAATTACCTGAGCGCACACTGCATTTCCCTCCGGACTCATACATCACGCAGTTACACCAGGCAAGTACAAGGGCCAAAAAACTGAGGTTGAAATAACAGCTGTGATTTTAGCAATTCATAACTGCTTGGCTTTACAACCCAGATAGCCCTTGCTTCTTTTTCAAAGTAGTACCATCATGTTTTGACTTGCGAGCATCTGCAGCATTTGTTTCCACAACTATGACTGGAATTGAGCCAGCTCTGCTTACGTTCAAAATATCTGATACCAGAGTAATTCCACAAGTTAAATGTTTATGAATGCTGTTATACTAAATGCTATTATACTGAATTACTTATTTTACTATCCAATATATAGCCGTACTATACATGAGACTGTAATCATTATTCTCA